AAATGCATAAGCAAAACACCAACTTCCTATCCAAAACATACGTTCCTCGCATGAAATCCCGACCATCAATCCGGTACCTGACCTACCTATATCCAAAGAAAATAGACCCCTGATCGCATCACTAAGCATCCATACCACATTAATCCTCCAACGTACTCCCATGTTATCACACTACGGCCAAACACCACAGCCAACTGGCCCCGTGTTGGGTTTGCATCCTAACTCTGAAAGTCATAAGCTTGCTCACTCCTTCTCCGAAACCAGAAAACTGAGAGGACATAATCCTCGCCATAGATAGCGACATTCCAATCCATCAGTCAACCATTTAGCTTCCAGATGCAATCCTTAAGCCGATCATAACAATCGTTTCCTTCTTGAGTCGTGCGACTCCAATGCACAACCTCGAGCAAGGCCCTAGAGACCTTAAAACCAACAAACTCACCTAGGTCTGCACCAATCAAACCCAACTAATATCACCCCTAAGGCCCAAAACAATTAGCATACCCATCCTCATGCTTGAACAACCATAACCAAAAGATTAACAGATATGAAACCACTGCCACGAATCATGGTATCAAACCATGCTATCTTCCCCGACCACCTCCCTTAGAATCCCCAATTTTTTTCTCTATTCGACTATGGTTCTGTGCTTCCATTAGTACGGGCCCAATACTACCTTCCACACCTATCCGTACTTTCCTCAAGAATCATCCGGGGTCCTCTATGTCACCTACTCATAATAATACTCCCAATACCTGCTCAACAACATAGCAACCACACTAAAATACTTCCTAGGCTCTCCTAGGATTCCCCACCTCGCCTGCCATCAGCTGTTGTAGACCCCTACTAATGCCATCTAACCACTTCATGAATACAATTATATACAACAAAGCTTAAATAATCTTTTGACTAAAGGACTCAACCCTATAATGGTTAGACTCAAACAAGAGCTACGGAATAGGACAAAATCCTTCACTATAAGATTATTTAACCGTCGTAACATGTAACTTAACATATTCATTTGATAGTTAAATCACATCGATATCAATACTACAAAGCACGAAGCAAGCATCATCCGAGCAGTGGAGTTTACTGATACTAAGACACAATAAAAATCAGACAGATCCTCATACGAAATTCCCGACGCCTAAACCCAAGCATCTAGGATACACCCTTATCCTATCCTCGCTCTATCAAGAGTGACTAATCATTCTCATGCTGACCTGCTATGAACTGCACCCACTCATGAAACTTCCACCAACCTTGCAGCCACTCGTGCATGCTAATCATACATAAATCTGGATCCCATAGACAGTCGAATACTTGACTCAACCCTAAGCCCTTAATCAAACAAGAACGTGAAATAAAGCTAAATCAAACATTCTCAGGTTATAGAATCTTTGTTATGTACAACTATGATGCACACACTAATCAACCACAATAATGATGTTAACTTCATCTAGCATATAAGAAGTCCTCCTAGGCTATCAGGCATCATAAATAAGGCAATTCTATCATGCAATTCCTGAAGATCACAAGCTTATCACTAGCATGCAGTTCTATCATATCATAAAAAATAACAGTGTGGGTAACTTGGCATATACTTTCTTGTTTCGGCTGACCGTACACATCACATCATTCCTTGGTTATTTTGAAAACAATTTGAAAACCATTTAAAAACTTTTGTAGTTCCCTAGTTTGAGTCTGGATTCACACGAATGTTCATCCAATTCTCTCAAACAAAGGATCTGATACCAAATTGTAACACTCCAAAAATCAAAGAGATTTAAAATTTTCAAAATCAACCATTAACCAACATTGTTTACAAAAGGAATTATTGTTTCAAAACTATTATTTCAAAATCCGAGTTTTCTACAGACCAAGTGACATAAAACAAGAAGATGTGCACGATCACGCATTTGCTTTCCCACGATCCTCAAAAGTATCTGAAACAATAAACTGAAACTGTAGGCATGAAGCTTAGTGAGTTCCCCTAAAGTACCACAACAAGAACATATGATCAAACAAATATTGGGTCCACAACCTCCTGGTTGGATTACCCATAGCCCACAACCTTTCGGTTCGAATGCCCGGCCCACAACCTTACGGTTGGAACGTCGAATACATAACATGTCCACAACCCCCTGGTTGGATTACCCTCGGCTCATAACCTTACGGTTGGAATGCCCAATACACAACGGGTCCACAACCTCCTAGTTGGATTACCCTCGGCCCACAACCTTTCGGTTGGAATGCCCAATGTATAACGAGTCCATAACCTCCTGGTTGGATTACCCTTGGCCTACAACCTTTCGGTTGGAAGGCGTCAGTCTGTTGACTGACAACACAAAGTAGTGCAGTAGTCTCAACCCCACCAAACCATGTCGACATATACATAACAAATAACATATATCCAACAACAGATAATCATATAACCAGTCAGCATACAAACATATAGATCTACAAAATACTACATCATAATGACATCTTATATACCAGGATACATAATCTAGTGGTCCGACATTGGTGCCTTTGACCCACAGGCACAGTGAGGAAAACTCACCTCACAGTCTAACGAATAGCCAAACAATACACTACTCCGAATACCGGTTCTACATGCCACCTATTCAATAGATAGAGACCAAGGCTTAACTATAGCTCAAAATACCCAAAATACCCTTAAGTCAAACTTGGCCAACCCTGGTCAAAGTCAAAGTCAACAGTCAAGGTCCCAAAAGTCAATATCCCTTCCCAGAGGAGTACACCCTACGTACCAAGAGAGTACGCCCAACGTACTCTGATGTTGACCAAAAAAGCAGGGCGCTGACTACGTACGTTCAACGTACCTCCAGGTACGCCCAACATATGCAGCCCAGTCCTAACACTCCATTAAGAGCTTATTCCATTTATCCCTTACGTCTAAATCTCATATCCAAGCCTAAAATGATGTCCTAATTCATAAAGTTTCCAACTTTATGACTTTGCATGGCCATAAACTGCTTAATGTCCAAAACCCTAAGTTCTTAACCCAATAATACATCACAACTCTTGTATGGAAGGAATAGAAGGGCCAATATCACATTTTTATGGTTTATAATAGCTCCATAATGGGTAAAGTTTCCAACTTTATCCATTAGAATGATCCTAACAAACATGATCTAGTCTTTAAGTCTCAAAGGGACCCAAAAGGGCATCTTTTTCAACTTAATCCATTAAGTCAAAGTCTCAAAACCTATATATCTGAATCAAAATGATGTTTAGATGGATAAAGTTTCCAACTTTATCCATAACAAGGTCACAAACTTTCGAGATCTAAACTTTATGCACTTAAAATGTCCAAAAGCTCATAATAACCAAAACTAGCTAGATCTAACAATTTCATCATCAAGATTCACACTTTATACTTCTAGGAGAAAGATCAAGGTGAACAAAGTCTGGATCTACAAGCTCCAATGCAACCAACACTTCTTCAATGAGTTCCTTCTTCTCCAAGGTGCACCAAGAACACTCCAAATCACTTTAAAACACCTTCTTTTTCTCACAAGGCTCAATCTAGGGCTAGGGTTTCAAGAGAGGGTGTTGGAGAGGTGGAGGTTGAGAATGGAATGGGTTTGGGGAAGTTAAGAAGCTTAAATAGGGCTTAAACCATGAAAATAGGGTTTGGGCACTGATCGCGTATGCCCAACGTACTCCATTTATACCTAGCGTACTAGGTATGCCCTAGTACGCCAGCGTACACGTTGAGTATGCCCAACGTACGCGACTCAACCCAAAACCGCCCTAACTTCAAACGGTCATAACTTCTTCGTTCCAACTCTGTTTTCGATGTTCTTTATATTCACGGAAAGGTGTTGAAGAGCTCTAAAATATTATCAAAATATCTTGGACTAAAAACTTCTTGAACAAAAATCCATATTTCATGCAAGGACCTGTCCTATGACTTTTCCCTTTCTACCCTTCGGACGAGAACACAATTCAAGGGTAAAATCTCTTAACTATCATTACCTCCTTCCACAAGGGCTAAACTTGGCCTCCTTAAGGCCCAAAAACTTACACAATCGACTTCTGGTTCATGGTTTAGAGGTTGCAGGAAACAGGATGTTACACGAAAGGTTACACCTTTTCTTGAAACCGACTCTCAAACCGACCTTCTACATCTTCACTCTCCCTAGGCTCTGATACAAAATGTTATCAGAGGACTGTTATAAAACCTGCACTTTACCTTGGTGCACAAGGTGTAGGCGTATGACAGGATAAACAAGAACAATGAACAGAACATGGGGAGAGAAAAACAAAAGTAGAGAACATGAAATGAATTGATCTACAAGCTTTATTATTAACATAAGGAAGAATACTTGATAAAAGCACATCTAACATATGTGCCACATGTGGGGAATTTTCCCCTGAAAATCCCTATGGGGATGGGTTTGCCCACTTATGTGAAGCTCAAACTCGGGGTGCACGTTGAAATATTGCGTGTAGGCTTCCGTTGAATCATCTGTTGTTTCCAAAAAAGATACGTCTAACATATGTTACCTATTTATACTAATAAAAAAGACTCCTTAAACTAACACAAAAGCTTAAATGTAAGTTTCCAAAAATTCTCCTAGGACTTTTTGTCCCAGATTCTGAATTAAGCAAACAGACTCCACGTACATTTAGGTAGTTCCCGATAATGCCGATGACTCGATTTAGACAAACCTAGAGTTCCAAGTTTTATACTCAACTTAGTTTCTTGTAAACCATCTAACATTTCAGGTTGATGTTATTTTTTAGTCTATTTAGTCTTGGTAATTTATAGAATTATATTAGTTTATTTCTTTATTATTTTTCCGTCACAAAAAACTTGTAGTTTATTAGTATATTTTATCTTATATTTAAAGAAATATATAGGTGCTTTGTTAACCATCTTTGTTGTAACAAAAAATCATTGGTGTAAGATATTATATTTTTATTGTAAACGTTTAGATTGGAAACTACATCAGATTTTGCTCATAGTTTGTTAAACCTTTCACAGATATTGTGTTACTAATGGAAATTGCACAACATTTAAAGATACCACTCGAGGAGATAATACTAGCCACAAAAAACTTTGACAAACAAAATTTCATTGCCAAGGGTGGATTTGGGAGTGTCTATAAGGGCGAACTCTCATTGTTTGGTAGGCTCATTGAGGTCGCCGTTAAGCGATTAGAACCTCAATCGGATCAAGGGAAACATGAATTCATGATGGAAATTTCAATTCTTTCAAGTTATAGTCATGAAAACCTTGTCTCTCTACTTGGCTTCTGTGAAGAGGGTAACGAAAAATTACTTGTTTATAAACATGAGAGTAGAGGGAGCCTTGACAATTATATACAAAACCCAGACCTCACATGGATGCAACGTCTTAAAATAAGCATTGGCGCTGCTCGTGGCATAAATTATCTTCATGACGAAGTAGGACAACAACATAGAGTCCTACACCGAGACATAAAGAGTGGAAACATTCTGTTGAACAACGAATGGGAAGCAAAAGTGTCAGATTTTGGGTTATCTAAAATAGGACCCGCACACATACAACACACTTTCGTTGTTACCCGTGTTGCTGGTACATTAGGCTATGTAGATCCTTCATATTATAATACTGAAGTTCTAACAAAAGAAGCAGACGTATACTCGTTTGGTGTGGTGCTATTTGAAATCTTGTGTGGAAGACTAGCATATGTAAAAGGATCCGAGTCTCTAGATGTCTTGGCTAAAAGCAAGTATATAGATAACAAATTGGATGAGATCATTATTCCTGAATTGAGGAAGCAAATGAAGTTGAGTTCCCTTAACACCTTCTCAGCAATTGCATATCAATGTTTGAAACCCGATCGAAGTGAACGTCCAACAATGGCTCACATTGTTGAAGAACTTGAAAAAGCATATAGAATTCAAGTAAGCTTAATTTTTCATAAGTAGTTCGTCACATTACAACAGCTTGCATGTACATTATACATCAAATGATTCTTTTATTTATCGTGGTCCGTAGCTCACTTGTCATTTTTGTATGGTGTATTGCAAGGCTTCTCTCAAAACTGCAGAAGTAATTCGGGTTGGATCATGGGGAAATACATCTACTGGAGGTCCCCATAATTGTTGGCATTTCATACTTGAAAAAGATCATAAACTGAAGAAGATAACTATCGATCATGGTGATGAGAATATATACTCTCTGACGTTCACTACCGAATCCAATGGTATTTTTTACACATCCGAAAGGGTTGGTGATAAGAATGGTGGAGGCACAGTGACTGAGGTAACTCATTTTTTAACAAACCTACACATACATGTTGACTCATTTATTTACTTGTTACAATTATGAATAGTTAAAAGATGTTACTTTTTGGCAAAATTCCACTATGTACTTTTCTAGAAGAAGTTTGAAGAGAACGAGGAACTAACTGGCATTAAAGGAACAATTAGAGTATTAACATCAGGCCATACAACTATTTCGTCACTAACGTTTATTACAAACGATACGACACGTGGGCCTTTTGGTCGAAAAACAGATACCCCTTTCTATATACTATGGGAAAAAGGAAATTTTGGTGGATTTTATGGTCTTGCACACAACATTATTGATGGCATCGGTGTCTACATGAAGTCTTCATCTGACGGATTCACACGGGTTGGAAAATGGGGAATGAAATCTCAAGGACGTCCCGATAACCAATGGTCTTTCCGACTCCAGAAAATCATTGTCTGAAGAAGATAACAATCGATCATGGTTATCTTATATACTCTCTCATGTTCACAACCGAATTTAGAGGAGAAGAGAAAACTTCAGAAAAGGCTGGTGGTAGGGCCGGTGGAGAGGTAGTCTCTAAGGTGAGGACTTAACTAAGTGTATATGTCAACAAAATTCCGTATTTGGTATATTTTTTAAATGAAATGTTTACTTTTTTGGTTCACTTCTCCTTTCGTTTTTTGTTGTTTATTCTTCTCAGGTTAAATTTGCTTGGGATGAGGAAATTATTGCTATCAGTGGAACTGTCGGTATCTCAAGGGGATTTTATGGTGGTTATACGATCATATCGTCTCTCACATTCATCACAAACAAAAGAACTCGTGGACCTTATGGTAATGTAACAAAAAAGCCTTTTAATGTACCATGGGACAAAGGATCATTTGCTGGATTTTATGGTCGTGCTGGCGCATTTATTGATGCTATCGGTGTATATTTGAAGACTACTGTATAACTAACCATCTTATACAGAGCGAAAGAATAAGGGATAATATCACTTATGCCCTATGAACTTCTTTGTTTTGGTTTAAAAGAGGTATTCTAAAGATATAAAGTCTATTTTTGTGTTTTAAATAAGCTATTATAAAATATTTAAACATGTCATCCGGTAAACATTTTCCTAGTCACCAAGGTTGAGTGCCACATCATTTAAAACTTTGCCAAAGAAAAGGAGAAAGTCTAGAGGGATGAGAGCAAGAACCCCAAAGTATTTGCTACATTTCCATCTTCTTCTCTCCCACCTCTGATTATCTTGCCACAATTAAATTCCAACACCATCGTCCACGAAGTTTGTTGAACGGAGATTGTATCGATTTTTAGCAAATTTCTTCATATAGTCTTGTTATTCATGGCACCATTCCCCAACTTTCACCGGTTTGAAGCCCGATTCTCCCTTTAGGTCCATCTGGGTCTCTGCAAAAACAATCAATTCATTGATGGATTTTGGGGTGAATTTAAAGGGGTTGCATCAGTTCAGTTCTAAACATGTTGTCATCACTACTCTTTCCCATATTCATGATTCTCCCTTTCCCCTGGTCATGCTTCTTCCCTGAAGGTTATTCATGATAGTAAAACCGCCAAGAATTTTCGGATCCTCATCAAAATCTGGATTAAGGATTATGGGGGAAGATTAAAGAGGAAACGATGATCAGATCAGTAACACGCCGATAAACGGAACTATGTCATAGAAAATCGTCAACATCGTCTACATGGTTTCCAGAGGAAAATCATTAAAAAAAATTCCATAATCTGGCATGCAACGACAAGTTTAAAGACACAACTATAACGAATCCTTCAACCAGGAGAAGCCTTCAAAGGGTCTGATGTGGAAACTAGGTGTTAGAAAACTAGGTCTCTGATAAAAATTTGATCAGTTTGCGTGGCTCATAGCCATTGGAAATAAACAAATACTAAACTACTGACTTCAGTGACCATGAAAGGTTCACTGAAGAAAACAAAGTAAACACGCTAAGTAAGTAAAGTAACATAGAAATCTTCATGCAATCGTTCAACTCTACGGTAGGTCTTCTGGTCTTCGATACACAAAACATAGGATTAAACTTTGGTAGTCATTGTCTTTTATGGTAGCAGCAGCAATTCAGGACTGCGGTTCCTTAGCTAAAGAGGGTCACTTTTTGTTTCAAGAGAACGTATTCACCAACACCTTCAACACTCTCAACAAAAGTACTAATTTGATCTTCATTTATAAAGAAACTCACATTTCACTTGTAAAAGACATTGTCAAACAACAGAACCTTTCATTAACAACATAAACATTTATTCTTAAAACAAATATTAATAATATATCATATAAAACACTATAATATAAAATGTAAATGTTATGTTATAATATAAAATGTAAATGTCAATAAACGTTTATTGTTTATAACAGATATCAACGATATCAATCACATATAATTTTCTCAATGCTTTAAATCATATATGATGTAAATCATTGTATTATAGTTTATATAACAGATATCAATCACATATGTTTCTTTGATAGCTAATCATAAACTGTTACTAAAAGAACTTAATCACATGTTATTGAAATAATTCAATTTTAAACATATACTAACACATGTTTTCTGAATGATTTAGGTTTTTATGCAAACATAAATCACGATTATTAACTTCATACTTAACAATTTCGATTTATACTACGTAAATACAATAACAAATTCAATAATCGACGTTTAACGATCAACATGACTTACAATATATTAAACATAACTCCTTTCGAACTCAAGCTTTCAATTTATACTTCATAAATGCAGTTACAATGCAAGGATCAACGATAAATAATCAAAATATGTTCTGAAAAGTGACGATCTTTACTTTTTCGATGAACAATATGTTAAACCTAACTCCTTTCAAACTCAAAACGTTAAATAACTTATTATATTACTAGAATAGATGAAATAAATACAAATGCGAGTGTTTAATAATAAAAAAACATTAAAAAAAGTGAAGATTTTTACCTTTTGATAGAATGAACTATTAGACGTAACTTCTTTGACGACAATGCAATTACTTCTTCTATAAGAATAGACGAACATAAGGCAGTGAATTTAGGAACAAAAATCGTAGAAATCGCTGAGATTTAGAAGCAATTTCGTAAAAACGCTAACTAATCACTCTGTTCTCATTCGATACTCTCGACAAGAGTTACGTCAAATATGGAAACAAAATCAGATGAAAACTCGTTCATAAGAGCAAAGTTACAGAAATACCCCTGAAGTTAATTAGAAAAAGGAACGTGTGTGTTTTTGAATATAATAGGCTAAATTTTCTTCTCAAATGTTCTCAATCTAAAAAATGTTCTCATTTGAACATACATCTCTCTCTCTCTCTCTCTCTATATATATATATATTATATATATATATATATATATATATATGTGTGTGTGTGTGTGTGTGTGTGTTTGTGTGTGTGTGTGGAAAAGTTCAATATAGAACCATTAGTAATTAAGAAACCAAGGAACTAATTAGACAGTAACTTTTTCCTATCTTAATTACGAATGTGTGTTTAATTCGACAGTAAAAAGTTTGGGTTAACTAAAGAGCTTGTCTTGGTTAATTTAATTAGGTAAAAGAGATTATACTAGAGCATGATAGTTGATCTCTGTACCAGCGTAGATAGAAACCACTCTGAACAACCAAATCTGGGCTGATTGCATGAATAGGAAAATCGTAGCAGAACTGAATTCATTTCTATTACTAATTTCACTTAGTTTATTTACACTGCTATTTTTAGTTTAGTTAATAATCAAAATCCCCCATTTTTATATTTTCTATTTTGACTAGAATGTGCCTTACACAAAGAGGCATTGACCATTAGGTTGTGTCCCTGGGGATTCTGTTTGATTAGGTGTCTAAGCCCATAACTAAAATTGGTATATAAAATTGATAGTAGCACAGTCCTTTTTGGTTGCCCTCAAGCCTAACAATTGGACATGATGATTTTAGAGAAAGAGATTAATTTATTATGTGAATAATAAATTAAATAAATATTTTATTAAGGTGTTATGAAAATAATATATTAATTAGAAATCATATTATTTAATTAATAATTAATCAGAAATTAATTGGATTAATTAAAAGTACATGGACTGTTTTGTTATTTATTATAATAGTTGAGAAAGGAAGAAGGCTCTAGAACCCCTTGGCACACCTAATCCATTCTGTTTCTAGCTTGGGTGTGATTCCATTAGAGGCACGCCGCTTGTGGTGTTTGCTTCCAAGAGATTTACAAGAAATGTATGTAATTCTAAAACCCTCTCTAGGTGATTTTGAAAATACCCTAGGGTTTGCAAGTTTCTTTTTGATGTTCTTAGTTATATGTTCAATAAAGAAAATATAGATCCTGTTTTGGTTGCATGCAAACTTAAGGATTTTATTTTTGTTTGTTTACCTAAATCCCATAAGTGGTATCAGAGTGTTTGGTTTGTTTTCTGTTTTATAACTATAATAGAAGAATAGATCAATTAGGGTTTATAGAAAATAAACCCTAAGAAGCCATAAATTTCGACAAGGGCTAGGGTTTTAAGAACCCTAGCTTCCACCCCTTAGTTTTCGATTTTAGGGCTAGGGTTTGGAAACCCTAGCCTTCCTCCCCAAGTTTTCAAAGTTGGCAAGGGATTTGAGGTTTCCATATTTGATAATTGTTAGTTTATTTGATTAAAAGGAATAATTATAAAATTGGAATCATTAAATGATTTAGTTTATTTAATTGTTAATAACTAAATTATTTATTTTAAATTTAATTAATTAAATATTAATTTCCGAAATTTAAAATATAAAACCTAGTATTTGGAAAAGTTTAAAATACACCTTATACTATATGTAAAATTAAAAGTTTAAATTATTATCATGTGTATAAGGCTAAGTCAGTCAAATCGCTAGTACGCTCATTCACGAAGCTAGTCTATAAGGGGGGGGGGGGGGGGGGGGCATAAGAAAACTGCCTATAAAATGGTAGTTGAATGGTTGTCCACTCTTACCCACCACTTCCTTGATTAGTGTTGGGTCATTATCCGAACGGATTTGATATGACAATAAATTCTCATTAAAAGTATAATGCTATTAAAAGTAACTAAACATTTTTCTTGAAAAAAATCCTAATCTTAGTTACTTTAGAAAAATGTGAATTTGTATGCTAACCTATCAAATTGCACATTACAATTTATAAGTCGTTAGTGGAGCGTGTGTGGTTAACCAACACACTAATAAAGACTAATAAAGAGTGGTAATTGGTATCTCATAAATTATCATTGTTGATGGAGCGTGTGTGGTTTACCAACACATCAATTGGGATGATAAATGACAATGAGGTTACCAAGCATATTTGCATGGTTATTCACATCTTGGTCTGTGATCCTCGGCATCCCACTCACAAATAGAAGCACATAATCTGAGACTAAACATGTCATTGAATAGTTTCAATGAATCTCAAAAGATCTAGGAATTCCATTTAACTTAATTTCTTATAAAATTCGTTTTCTATTGTTGGAATTGGTAAATCGCCATTTACCTACCTTTATAAAATTTACTATTAGATTACAACATCCCTTTTCTAAGTTATGAATTATATAGTTGGATCCTAGCCTTAATATTTTATTTTGGGTTTCTATATTAAAGATTATTCTTATCTAACTACCTTCTATTTTCAGATGTCTACTCCAAATGATGCTTCTGGTTCCTCCACCTCTAACCAAAATTTCTCGTTGTTGAACATCTGCTCAAAGGTGACATTGGATGGCACCAATTACAAATAATGGATACGCAACATCAAAATGGCCCTTCGTTTCGAGGACAAGGAATGTGTCCTTGAGAAAGAACTAACTGAGATTGACGAAGAGAAGAATTAGCTTCCTATAAGAGGCACTATAATGATGCAATAAAAGTTGCTTGCATCATGTTAACCACCATGACTCCTGAGTTGCAGAGATTTTATGAAGACTAGTGGCCCTATGAGATGAACAAGGA